AATTTAACTTTCATTAAAAGTATAATGAAAATGTACTAAAATGCATTATATTCAGTGACCCAATCCACTTTCAGAACTTGTGGAATTATCTTTTGTGACTAGGGCAAATATTTTACAAGTTCCAAGGGATAAATAAGGCCTCAATCCTTTGTACTGGAAGCCTCCAGTTGAAAATTACATGGTGTGAAGGAAATCTTAATTCACGTATGCATCTAAATGCTGATGTTACATTTAATATATTTTTATTCTGTTTATATTTTACTATATTGGCATGTGCAATTCAATGCAGTGTTTGGCCTGCTATCTCAGTAGACAAGTCTTTCACCACTCATAAGCTATAATATATTTTAGAAATGTTATTAACTGGCATTAAAAGATTTTATTTTAGCACTTCTAAATGGCGAAATATGTAGAAAAATAAAAAATTACAGGTTTAATGTTGCATTATGTTTTCAGCCAGAGAGAACTTCATTATAGATCCTTAAAGATAGTCATGCAAGAAGCTTTGAGTCTTGTCAGAAGAGCAGAAATTTAGGCTATGATTCCAAGCCATGCTTATGCAAAAATCCAAATAAGGGAACACTTAAGAAATTTAGTCCATCTTCCAGTTATCTATCCAGTTTCATTTCAACACATGCAGTGAATGGAACCTTATCATCCCACCCGATAGTTAACAGATGCATTTTTTCAAGTTATTATTAACAGATTTTAAAGCTTAAGCTTTCTGTGTTTTGTTTTCAACATAGATTTGGTGATTTTGTAGACATTAGTGAAGGACCTCATATTTCAAGAACTAGCTTGTGTGATCAGTATGCAGTAACAGCAGCTCATAATCTTCAAAGCAGCCAGCCTGAATTAAGAAGAAGATTCCAAGGTATCTCTGTACCATATCATTTAAAGGTTAGTAATCTATTTATTTACCAGTATTTTTGTTTAGGATAAGAAAGAGAATATGGACTCAGGGTGGTGAGCAGTAAATATCTTTCAAATTCCTCATCCTAAATTCACTAACGTCTCTCATGAGGCAGGAGAAAATCTTTTGCCCTTTTTAAAACCCCTGGGGAATTTTTGAGGTCTTTTTAAAAAATAAAATTAACAATGTTTTGGGCAGTTTTTTTAAAAGAATGAAAAACAACATGCTTGCAATTTGGTAGTGCAATACTGAAGAGTTTAAGGTCCAGTAAAAAAAAGAAAGGGCTACATATGGTTTTATGCCGCACAACCACCAGCAACAATTAATGTAAGAATTATAAAGAAAGGTAATTATTAACTAGTCCGTACTCCATAGCTTAGAATCTATAAGGAGAATTAAAGAAAAAATGATGGGGAATTGGAAACCATCTCTTGTTCATCCTTTTACTAGAAATAAATAAATAAATAGTACAAAGCCAGCATCTTAGAGTTTTCAACCTTAGTGGAAAAGATTCAGTCAAACTTTTCAAATTACAGTACTGTAGTTCTGTTTACGAAATGTGACATCACTTTTGCCCAAAAGACTTCATCTGCTTGATATATTTGAGAAAAGAAATGTCTTACAGAGAAACATTAAATTGTAATGACACACGCACACATCCTACTGGTGCCCAAAATAATGGAATATAACAGTGATGGTGAACCTTTTAGAGACCGCGTGCCCAAACTGCAACCGAAAACCCACTTCTGTATCGTCGGGTGCCGGGTGGGCATGGCCCATTGGGTGGGCGTGGCCCATTGGGTGGGCGTGGCCCATTGGGTGGGCATGGCTGCAGTGGTAATGGCAGACTGGGTAGGACTAAAAAGTTCAATCAATCAATTGCAACTTTGCGAGATTTTTTCCCCGCAAGAAGTTGAAATTGATTGATTGATTGAACCTTTTTTTTTTTTGCACACGGCGGCGGAGGCCTAATGCGAAAAGGTTTTATAAACCCAGCTGAAGGCTTCGGACTGGGGCAACAGCACACGTGCCCACAGAGAGGGCTCTGCGTGCCATCTGTGGCACATGTGCCATAGGTTCGCCACCACGGGAATATAATATTTATTCTTAAGAAATACAACTTGACTTTTCCTCTTTAAATTTTGAGAGGTTTTATATAGAAAAGCTAAAAGATTGTGAAATGTAGTTATTTGATCCTCTCATGACATTTTGTCCATAATACACAACACACAAGCACATTTTCATTGCAAAATAATAATAATAATGATTTATATGTTGACTGATTCTGTTTCATTACAGCTTTATCATACTATATGGCACAGATTGCAGAAAAGATCACAGAAACTAGTAAGTTTAAACCTCAAAGAATAATCACTACATTTGCATGACTTATTTTTCTGAAAGCTATGAAGAAACACAATCCTGTAATAGAAATGTAATATAAAATATCAATATTTCAGATAAAAATGCATCAGAAATTATAATCATTGTTTTGCTCTGATACTCTGATATTTTTTCCTAGCATAATTGTGATCACAATTGTGACTGGAACGTCCATTGCTAAGTAATGTAGTCATTAACTGGCATCCAATTTTATGACATTTTTTGGCACAGTCATTAAGCGAATCTGACTTCTCTCATTGTCTATGTTTGTTGGAAGCCCCCTGGGAAAGTTACAAATGGTGATCACTTGACCATGGGGATGCTGGTGTAAATGTGAGGGCCAGTTCTAAGGCACTTTTTTCAGTCCCATTGTAACTTCAGTTGTTAAACTAATGGTCATAAATCGAGGACTAGCTATAGTATGTACCAATGTGTGAAGAACATTTCATAAGATGTTCATAGTATGTAAGGGATAAAACTACTTTTTACGTTCCTGGGCCTGGAAGGAATGGCAATAGCATAGCACTCTTCTATTATTATTATTTTTTTTTTCCAATATAAAATTTTATTGTTTTTATCATAAAAAAAAAGAAATACATCACAGATATTACACAATGTTATATCCCATCCCCCCACCCCCCGGACTTCCCAAACCAAACCTAGGCTAATATTCAAATACAAGTAAACAAATATTAATATCTCTAACTCCAAACTCTAAACTTAAACAATCCATCTCCTCCGTGTTAATAAAANGAGTAACAAATTGAAATATGCTTCATGTAAGAAGGACTTTGGTTTAGTTAGTTGTGCTTCTACAAATACACAATGTTTGGGAGTTAAATTTCCTCACTCTAGTAAGTGTTCATTTGGGATCACCAGTCATTTTGCTTCCCTAATGTATTTCTTGGTTTCTACAGATCTGTTCTCTTCTATGATACCTAGTCTCTAGCAACATGGAACCCTCAGTTTTGTTGAATCAGTTTTACTTATCCTTATTAACTCCCTATGAAGCATTATTAAAGGAGAAAAATATTCCAAGTCATTATGCTCTTTCGCAATAACTTATAACTTGATCAAAAACAGGGGGGAAATTTTGGCTTCTTCCTGTTAACCAAAAAAGATTCTGATAGTGTCTCATAGTAGGATTAAAAAAAGAAAACAAGTAAAAATAGCAGATAGTTCAAGAAAACTATGGGTGAAATCTTGCTGCCTCTCTTAAAAACAATTAATTTTTACCTTAGGTAATATACAGGCGGTTATTTTAGACTGTTATTTCACTAATAAAATATGATTTTAGTACAGTGTAATACTTTTTGAAGTTTAATTTTTATTTTATTTTGTTTATCTTTTCCAGATTTAAGTGAATGGTATATTAAGAGATCTGTGCTTGCCCTTGTAGATGGGCAGCACTGGGATATGTACAGACCTTTGACTCATTCTTGTGAAATTCAGTTTCTTACTTTCAAAGATGAAGATGCAGAAGAAGTGAACAAAGTATAACAATCCTGGGTTTCTTGCTTTATGTTGTTTTTATTAAAACTGAGAGATAAAAGAATGCATGGTTTAAATTCGTTTGAATGTCAATACAGGTAGCCCTTGCTTAACTTTGATAATTGGGACTGGAATTTCTGTCACTGAGCGATGCGGTTGTAAAGCGCAACATCATGTGACCACATCATTTAGTGATGGCAATCGTGGTTGTAGTCGTTAATGTGAGGATCATGGGTTATTAAGCAAGGACATCCTGTGACTGTAACTTGTGACTTCCTGCAAGCAAAGTCAAAGAGGAAGCAGGCAGGAAGTTGCAAGTCCTAGTTGTTACTAATTTTTCTTTTGGTAGCTTGCAGGCAGGCCAGTGGGCAGGTGGGGAAGGGTTTAGGGTGCTGTGGTGGGAGTGCAGCCAGGCAGAAGTTAAGTCTTGCAGCCTGGCACAGTTGCAGGGGTCCTATGGCCCAGTCAGGTATGCGGAGGGCAGATATAGTGATTGCTGCAAGTGGGCATGTGCTACAGAATGTGAGATTTTCCAGATCTTTAACCCTGTAGCAGGGCTCCTCAGGAGAAAAACTGGAATATTGTAACTGTCATAAGAATGAGGCAGTTGCCAATGCTTGAATCACAATTGTGATTCTTGTGGCATTGCTGTGGCAGCTGGAAATTCAATAACTGAGTACGTATACCATTCATTCAGCACCATCATGGTCATAACCCAAGAACAATTTATAGAGAAGTTGATTCAAAAATGATTTGAATATAATGATATTCTGTTTCTCTTAGTATAGAATTTCAACTTTCTGGCTTTCTATTAATTGCAGATTTAAATACAATAATACAAGTGGAGTATTTTTGACTCATAAAATAAATGACATTCCTCAGAAACAGAATACAAGGCAAATATCTTTTATGTCTGGCTGCATTTTTAAATAACATTTGCTATCAAACATGAAACTTCATAAATGATGCCTTGAGTCTTTTAAAATTTGCTTTTGAAGTTTACATTGAACTGTCTTGAGATAATTTGAATTAATCTATTGCAGGCTTATTGGCGTTCTTGTGCCATGATTCTGGGCTGTATTTTAGAACAAGCATTTAAAGATGAATATTCAATTACTCTTGTTAAAGCTCCAGAAGTACCAGGTAACATAACTCTCTGGAAGAATACTACGATAAACATAGAAAAAATCTCTGTAATTTACTCATTTCAAAAATGTAGGTATTATAGCATTTGGAGACAAAGTACATGCAAAATACTTTGAATTATAGTCTGAACCTATTGGAAGGTTACAAAGCTGAAGAAAATTATAATAGACAATTTACTAAACTACCAGTTTTATTAGATCACTGGCAACTGTCTTTTGCTCATCTAATATTAAAGTTCTTATGATGGTAAATACTTACTGTATTTACTTTTTTCTGTGAAGGTAGTATACATGTTATTTTCAGTTGGTCCTTATTTGGAATTGGCCATATTCAAAACTGCCATGCTAACAACCAAATGCTGGGGAAAGCATACTTCTTAAAATGATTTATTAACCAGTGTTCAATTCTCAATTGCATACTATAGCAGAACATGTAAAATTCTTGTTTAAATAGAACAGAATTGCAGATATAATTTGATATATAATTTTAATATTCAAATTAAGTCTGCAGTTCTGTTCAATTTATCTGAAAGGTTTTACCCCATTGAACTAGAAGAAATTTACTTATGTATGGTGTATATAGAGAGTTGCATTATAATACCTCCCTGAAAAATGGTTTGCACCTTGACTAAAAAGAGAAGTTAAGACAGTGTTAGGTGAACTTTTTTGTGAAAAAGTTCCAAAGACATTCAGTCATTCACAAAGACTTTTCTTCAGTTTTCTGTCAGCAAGTGTCAATGGTGGAGGAAGACCTAAAAGCCTATATTGATATTTGGACACAATTCATTATTTTCATTAGGCAGGTTGTTCAAAAGTGGGATATCTAGAACCCAATAATTAACTATCTAGACTAATATTTAGATTTCTTAATTTCTTTACCATCCTGGGTTTATTTGTTTTGATAATATCTTGTTTAATGAAGAATTCCAGATAACCCAAAAACTTGTATCCTGTGTTTGACATTTTGTTTGGTCTTAATTAAAACATGCCTAAATATGAATTTAGAATTATTTGTACAGCCAAATTTCTGATGCTGTAACTATATGCTGGTTCTCATTGGATTTCTTAAATATCTTACTTTGAAAAATCTATTCATAGCAATATTTCAAAATGTTGTCTTGCTATATAGTGACATCTGGAGCATTTTGCTATGATGTAATCTTGGATAGCAAACTTGATGCATGGACACCAACTGAGGTAAGTTCAAGCTGGTTTAATGGACAACTCAATACATCCATTATATGAAAAGAATAATTGCTAAATGTAAAAATTGCAATGGATATTTGTATTCACACAGAACTTTTTGTGTTTGTGCCCTATGTTTCATTTGCTCTTATATAATAAAACCTCAGATTTTTTTATAAATGTAGATGTTAAACTGCACTTCCTAGACTGCTGGATCAAGCCTCTAATACTTATTTGGGTTTCAAATGTTTATTTTTTGGATAAAATATGTTTAAAATGTGTACATTGTGAGAAAATATTTAAATATTTTGTACAAATTGATCTGAAAACAGAACAAATCTATGAATGAATGTACGCAGAATTAGCAGACCAGAAATTGATTGATCAATCCTCCTATAATGATAGAGCCAATATTAGATTCTGTTCTGGATTCAGACCTTAATTCATATAATATTAAGGGTATAAAATCAAATCTGGAACTTCTTCAGCTCTGGATTTAGTCTGGTCATATTTTTTATTATAAAACTCTTTTTCTGCTGTTGCTCCACCCTCTGGAACAGACAAGATGGGCAGCATATAAATTTAATAAATAACAACAGCAATAATAATACCATCAAACATCCACATCTGCCTATCCCAGGTCCTTGAGAAGGACTAAATAGGCGGATAAAATATCTAATCCAGCTGGCTGACTGCGACAAATCAATAACATGTAGAAAAATGCAAGGAGACAGGTTAGTTTTAAGCTCAGTCTTGCCTTAATATAATAGAAAGCCTTTTGAAAAGTATGGTGTTTTAACATAGCAATTGGATTGGATAGCCTCACAAGCTTGCCCTTTTATTCCTCAAATATTCGTTATAATATTTGCTGTAAATGCTAAAATTGTTAACTCATAAACTTCCTTCTGTATTGGGGATGAAATAAAAGGATATCCGTATGTGGATATATTTAATTCGATTAAGCCAAATAATTTTCCAGACTGCTGGGCAGATGGAGGATATTGAGTTTTTTTAAGCTTAGATGAAATAGTAAATATGAAACATGTTCCAGTTTTTTATGCTTAGTATATTCCTGCAGAGACAGAGCTACCTTAAATAGCTACAGCTTGAAAAATCTCCAGAATAATGATTAAATATTACACACCAAGAATTTTAGATACTTAAATTATTTGAACCTTCTTATTTATCATGTCAGTCTATATAAGCTCAATATTTTTTTCTCATTTTTGAAGGAAAATCTCCATTCCCTTTCAAAAGATGCTTTCAGATTAATTCAGAAAGATTTGCCGTTTGAAGTGCTGGATGTCGATGCAAAAGTGGCACTTGAAATATTTGAGTATAACAAGTTAGTATTAGCAATCTATATGTCAGAGTTAAAATGTCATTCAGAAAAGATGTGTATCTATCTGTCTGTGCTCATATGTATATAATTTGAAATCAGTGTTTCATTATGAAGATCTATAAGTTGAGATTAAAAAAAATAAACAGCTCCTTATTCATTTGCTTTTGGTTTTCATGTCTATTAGTATGCCACTGATAATGAAAGGGAATATGGCTGAACAATGTATAACTCCTGTTCAAATAAATAGCCATATATTGCAGCTATACTTAACATAGGTTGTATATTCTTTATTGTATAATAGATAATGCACATCATTCTACTTTGAAGAGTAAAGTATGGATAAAATGGAATATGTTTAAATGCATCAACGTTTATCATATGAGAATAGGGTTTTGAAGATTTAGGAACAACTCCACTAGAAGCAATACTAGCCGCCGTAATAAAGGCTTCATGTTGGGAATAAAGAGAAGAAGTTTTCTCAGTTTTTGAAAAAAGAAAAATATTCCTTAGTCCATTATTACTAGAATTGGCATGTAGAAAGGAAAAATGACGTATGATTAAAAAAAATGAAATAGCATGTATATACTCTTCTAGCTGAATTTAGTTATAGATGTGTTTCTTCGTATTTTAGGTACAAACAGGATATGGTTGAAGAAAGAGCTCAAAATTCCAAAGGAGTGGTAACAGTGCATAGGTGAGCAAAACATAAACCAGCCTTATTTTTATAGCTAGAATTCTTTACCCTTTCTCTTTCTTCTCTCTCTCTCTCTCTCTCTCTCTCTCTCTCTCTCTCTCTCTCTCTCTCTCTCTCTCTCTCTCTCTCTCTCTCTCTCTCTCTCTCTCTCTCTCTCTCTNAATTTAACTTTCATTAAAAGTATAATGAAAATGTACTAAAATGCATTATATTCAGTGACCCAATCCACTTTCAGAACTTGTGGAATTATCTTTTGTGACTAGGGCAAATATTTTACAAGTTCCAAGGGATAAATAAGGCCTCAATCCTTTGTACTGGAAGCCTCCAGTTGAAAATTACATGGTGTGAAGGAAATCTTAAATGCTGATGTTACATTTAATATATTTTTATTTTGTTTATATATTGGCAGGTGCAATTCAATGCAGTGTTTGGCCTGCTATCTCAGTAGACAAGTCTTTCACCACTCATAAGCTATAATATATTTTAGAAATGTTATTAACTGGCATTAAAAGATTTTATTTTAGCACTTCTAAATGGCGTAATATGTAGAAAAATAAAAAATTACAGGTTTAATGTTGCATTATGTTTTCAGCCAGAGAGAACTTCATTATAGATCCTTAAAGATAGTCATGCAAGAAGCTTTGAGTCTTGTCAGAAGAGCAGACTAATTTAGGCTATGATTCCAAGCCATGCTTATGCAAAAATCCAAATAAGGGAACACTTAAGAAATTTAGTCCATCTTCCAGTTATCTATCCAGTTTCATTTCAACACATGCAGTGAATGGAACCTTATCATCCCACCCGATAGTTAACAGATGCATTTTTTCAAGTTATTATTAACACATTTTGGGGTGCTTAAGCTTTCTGTGTTTTGTTTTCAACATAGATTTGGTGATTTTGTAGACATTAGTGAAGGACCTCATATTTCAAGAACTAGCTTGTGTGATCAGTATGCAGTAACAGCAGCTCATAACCTTCAAAGCAGCCAGCCTGAATTAAGAAGAAGATTCCAAGGCATCTCTGTACCATATCATTTAAAGGTTAGTAATCTATTTATTTACCAGTATTTTTGTTTAGGATAAGAAAGAGAATATGGACTCAGGGTGGTGAGCAGTAAATATCTTTCAAATTCCTCATCCTAAATTCACTAACGTCTCTCATGAGGCAGGAGAAAATCTTTTGCCCTTTTTAAAACCCCTGGGGAATTTTTGAGGTCTTTTTAAAAAATAAAATTAACAATGTTTTGGGCAGTTTTTTTAAAAGAATGAAAAACAACATGCTTGCAATTTGGTAGTGCAATACTGAAGAGTTTAAGGTCCAGTAAAAAAACAGAAAGGGCTACATATGGTTTTATGCCGCACAACCACCAGCAACAATTAATGTAAGAATTATAAAGAAAGGTAATTATTAACTAGTCCGTACTCCATAGCTTAGAATCTATAAGGAGAATTAAAGAAAAAATGATGGGGAATTGGAAACCATCTCTTGTTCCTCCTTTTACTAGAAATAAATAAATAAATAGTACAAAGCCAGCATCTTAGAGTTTTCAACCTTAGTGGAAAAGATTCAGTCAAACTTTTCAAATTACAGTACTGTAGTTCTGTTTACGAAATGTGACATCACTTTTGCCCAAAAGACTTCATCTGCTTGATATATTTGAGAAAAGAAATGTCTTACAGAGAAACATTAAATTGTAATGACACATGCACACATCCTACTGGTGCCCAAAATAATGGAATATAACAGTGATGGTGAACCTTTTAGAGACCGCGTGCCCAAACTGCAACCCAAAACCCACTTCTGTATCGTCGGGTGCCGGGTGGGCATGGCCCATTGGGTGGGCGTGGCCCATTGGGTGGGCGTGGCCCATTGGGTGGGCATGGCTGCAGTGGTAATGGCAGACTGGGTAGGACTAAAAAGTTCAATCAATCAATTGCAACTTTGCGAGATTTTTTCCCCGCAAGAAGTTGAAATTGATTGATTGATTGAACCTTTTTTTTTTTTGCACACGGCGGTGGAGGCCTAATGCGAAAAGGTTTTATAAACCCAGCTGAAGGCTTCGGACTGGGGCAACAGCACACATGCCCACAGAGAGGGCTCTGCGTGCCATCTGTGGCACATGTGCCATAGGTTCGCCACCACGGGAATATAATATTTATTCTTAAGAAATACAACTTGACTTTTCCTCTTTAAATTTTGAGAGGTTTTATATAGAAAAGCTAAAAGATTGTGAAATGTAGTTATTTGATCCTCTCATGACATTTTGTCAATAATACACAACACACAAGCACATTTTCATTGCAAAATAATAATAATAATAATGATTTATATGTTGACTGATTCTGTTTCATTACAGCTTTATCATACTATATGGCACAGATTGCGGAAAAGATCACAGAAACTAGTAAGTTTAAACCTCAAAGAATAATCACTACATTTGCATGACTTATTTTTCTGAAAGCTATGAAGAAACACAATCCTGTAATAGAAATGTAATATAAAATATAAATATTTGAGATAAAAATGCATCAGAAATTATAATCATTGTTTTGCTCTGATACTCTGATATTTTTCCCTAGCATAATTGTGATCACAATTGTGACTGGAACGTCCATTGCTAAGTAATGTAGTCATTAACTGGCATCCAATTTTATGACATTTTTTGGCACAGTCATTAAGCAAATCTGACTTCTCTCATTGTCTATGTTTGTTGGAAGCCCCCTGGGAAAGTTACAAATGGTGATCACTTGACCATGGGGACGCTGGTGTAAATGTGAGGGCCAGTTCTAAGGCACTTTTTTCAGTCCCATTGTAACTTCAGTTGTTAAACTAATGGTCATAAATCGAGGACTAGCTATAGTATGTACCAATGTGTGAAGAACATTTCATAAGATGTTCATAGTATGTAAGGGATAAAACTACTTTTTACGTTCCTGGGCCTGGAAGGAATGGCAATAGCATAGCACTAAAGATAATAATAAACATACAATACAACTAGGTGAAAAATATAACGTATGGGTGAAGAAAAAAACTGTAACGTTTACTTTTAATAACAACTGTAAAACGACAAATATTTTTCGTCTCTGAATAAGAATGGGTAGACGGTCACCCAAACCCCGACACCCTCACAGATAAAAACAACATAATATTTAATGTCAAATGTACCCATTTTCATCTTTGGATGGCAAATTTGACAGTTGTGATCACAAGCAGCAGTGAGAGCTGCACATAAATGATTTGAAGATTGCTAAGAGTCTTGAAGCTTTATTTTGCCCATGGATGGAATATGGAGAGTACTGAATTGCAAAATTAATTTTTTGATTTGATTATATAAAAGTAGTAGTAGGAATTGGGTTGAAGATTCATGGCATTGTCAATCTAATGTTATCAGATAATTTAAACTATTGCCAAAAAACTAAGATTTCAAATTTTAGTACTACATTCATATTTTTATATATGTATAAAATGTTCATGTATGTATAAAATTATATATGTATATGTATTTTCTAAATACTCAGTAATATCCTGTATATTAACACATCTACTAGTAAGCATAATGCTAAAGCATTTCTGGATCCTCTTTCTTTCCAGCTGGTTTGAATATTAAACCAAATCACATTCCATGTGTGTTTTTTTCATTAGTATTTTTTTCTGAAGCAAAAATTAATGAGAAATGAATTATATTTTTCCCACGAGGCTTAAACCACCAGTTTAATGTTACCATTTCTGCCCAGATTTTGCAGTTTATCCATGCAGTTCTCATTAAGAAAATCAGAGTGTGGCTGCCAACATGCAGGGTGAACAGTGAATAAGGGGGAGGAATTGGAATGGATTTGGGGATTGAGCAAAAGGTATATGAAAGTTCATATTTTATCTCAAGAATTTATTATGTTTTACAGATCACTGAAAGAAGACCAAAAGAAACAAATGATAGAAATGAAATTACAAACATTGAACCAGCCTGACCCTTTCTAATCTGTATGTGTGGAAATACTAAGAATTAAATTGAGATTGTTTTAAAGAACAGATTCATTATTCAGATCAATACCTTGAAAAATTCTTCAAGAGAACGTTTTCAGAGACTCACAGAACGTCACCCTTGCTCTATCACAGTGATGGCGAACCTTTTAGAGACCGAGTGCCCAAACTGCAACCCAAAACACACTTATGCATCGTCGGGTACCGGGTGGGTGTGGCCCATTGGGTGGGCGTGGCCCATGGGGTGGGCGTGGCCCATTGGGTGGACGTGGCTGCAGTGGTAACGGCAGACTGGGTGGGGCTAAAAAGTTCAATCAATCAATTCCAACTTTGCAAGATCTTTTTTTTCCCTGCGAGGTTGAAATTGACTGATTGATTCAACCTTTTTTTTTTTTTTTGCACATGGCAGAGGCCTAAAGCGAAAAGGTTTTATAAAACCCAGCTGAAGGCCTAGGACTGGGGAGACGGCACGTGTGCCCGCAGAGAGGGCTCTGCGTGCTGCCTCTGGCACCCGTGCCATAGGTTCGCCACCACTGCTCTATCAGATTAGATCTTAGATGTAAATAAAAATAGAGTGTAGATATAATAGAATAGATGTACATAGAAAAGGTTGCATATCTGCAGGCATTCAAAGCCTGTTGCAAAATGAAAGATGAGTTCAGATACTGATCCTGGCAGATGAGGATTTTCCTCACATCTTCAATACCTCTACAGTTCACAATTAATGAATATGAGCAATAAGCCTGTACACATCACTCCAATTCAGTTTGAGTGGAAGATTCAAAAAGGGTGTGATTGAATTTGTATTTGCAATTTGGAGCCAAATTGATTTGAACTACTTAAATAATTGGGATTGAGATTAGAAAAAAAACATTATCCATGAGCTATAAGAGCAAAGCATTGAAATACCCACAGATGAATGAGATGAAAATAGCAGGTTCAGTAGACTTTTTAACCTTGTCATGCTTCAGCTGGATGTTACAAAATATTTTTGAAATAATATTCTTGAACCTCTTTGAAGGCAAAGAGAACTTGACTTGTGCTTACTGAACCAATGCAGCAAGTTGCCCTACTCCAGTTTAAAAATAAACATGTTCAGAAAATATTTTAAGATAAATGCTTGTTTTCTGGAGTGCCATGTTTTGTCCAGGACACTAAAAATGCTTTGCTGATTCTACCTATTTGCAGGAGTGCTAGAAAAATAGATATATCAGGATGACCTTGCTGCTTTTTGGGAAGAATCCTTTCCTCCTTAGTGGGACTCAATTGTGTCTTTTTGGCAACTGTTAGTGGAGGCAACAGACATAGGCTAAAAGTCGGTGAAATACAACTTTATAGAAGTAGGCAGTTGAGAAGAAAGAGACTGGCACAGAAAAACTTATTTAATATGCTTATAATCTTTATTTTAAAAAAATCAGTAAATGTTTGGATGTCTCTTATTACCATGGTCCCCTTTTAGTTCTTACAAAGAATTAAATTTGCCCAAATAACACTGAATGTAAACATTAGCTTTCAGCCATTAATACATAATCTGACTGGCCAGCCTTGAGACCATATTCAGAATGCTGAGAATTGAGTTGAACCAGTTGTGTAGGCAGAATTAGTATCAAAGTTTAATACGTCAGCATGAGGGAGAACAGAGTTTAGTTTTGAAACTGACCACATTAAAGAAGCTAAGAGCTGAGGGAATGAAGTGCTTACCAGTTCAAAAGAGCTCTGGTAATAAGAGGTTAAACATTTGGTAGAATTCAGACTAGCTACTGAAGCCTGTATCAGAAGAGTTCATCACTCTGTGCCACCTCTATCTCTGATGTTACTGTTTGTGCAAAGAAAATGTCAACATTGTGTGTCTTCAGTAACAAGTTCAGAAGGGGCAAAATGACCTTTTAAAATCTAGAGTGTTTTTACAAGGCTAACAAAGTGCTTCACAGTCATCTAGTTTGATTTGCTGCTTTAAAGTGGTTCCCTGCATTGATTCATGAATGTGTTTCGATGTGATTATTTTAGTGAACCTTTCTCTAATTAAAAACCAAAGCTTTAGACAGCACCAGTGACCAGACGTCCTTAGTCTCTAATGTTCTCAGATGTGCTGAACTGTCCATTTCTAAACATTTCAACTTGCAAGAGTCTGACTGTGAATTCCAGGGGTTGCAGTCCTAATATTTGGAAGGAATAAAGTGGGAAAAGTTGGGTATTAGAGCAACGCTACCAAGTTGCATGATCAGATCTAATCTTTGTATTTAGATTGCAGTGCTCAAATTGACATTTGTGTATTGGTAAATGCTGGTACTGTTTCAGTATAGCTACAATGGACATACTTTGTACCAACATGATATTTTAATTTGGGTTTGTACCACTATTGAATGTAAACATGAGGGCATTGTAGCTTGTACAAGAATTTTCTGAAGTTCAAAGTTGAAATTTCCATCTACTAGTGACAATTAATTAAATGCTGGTAAATATAAAAGAGAAAAGCCAATTAACTGAGGATGCAATGAGGCTATCAAAAAAGAATTTGTAGTTTGCAATCTTGTAATTCATCAGCCTGAAATGCATTTTAGATTATTCCACTTTAATTGTTTATGGGCCTGGCTTTTACCCTTTTTTTGTATGTTAATATTTGGCTTTTTAGTGTGCATGGGGCTATCATAATGCAGTCTGTATTACCATGAATTATTAGTATTAATCCTTAATTCTTGGAAATATCTTGAAGCCAAATCAAATATCCATTGTTTTCAAGAATTGATACCAGTCAGAGTTTCTAACCACATACCCCTACACTTCTGTAATATGTTGTGTGGATTGCAGATAATAAGATTCTTCTTTATATAGGCAAAGTCATGCTAGTGTATGAGGGAATTAATCTACTCTTATGATAGCTGCAATTGAAGCATTTTTATTGAATCTCTGTGATCTCTGATCCACTATGCAGTACTGAAGTTTCCTTTATTGTCTTCTTGAAATAGCAGAACTTTGATGCTTCTGAAACTCAGACCGTGGGAAGTGAGTTAGGTAACATGAAGTTTCTGGAAACATTGAAACAGTGAAAGGAGAAAAAGTGGTTCTATGCAAAAGAATAGGTGGGAGTATGGAAATTTTGAAATGTGTCTCTTTTTAAAAGGAAACTTCAACTATCCTGCTGTAAGAAAATAAAATGTGTTTAATGCTCTTTACAACTAAGAGCATAGCATGTTTATTTTTCAGATTTATTTAAGAGCTAGAGATTGTGAATTATTAATATGGTAGTTTTCATATATTTTAACTGCAAATTATATCATCTATAGCCAGTGTAACCGTGGATAGAAATGATGGGAAATGTGGCCAAAGCTCTTACTAGTAGATAGAAATTTTAACTTTGAATTTCAGAAACTTTCTGTATGAGCTACAATGCCCCTATGTTTACATTCAATAGTGGTACTTACCCAAGTATACTCTGTAACGTGGAATATTTTAACCTGATTTTTCTTTTGGCTTCAGAACATTTATTTACTAACACATTATGCATCATTTTATTTGCTGTAGCTTGCTGGTATCAACATGGATGGGTTTTGACATCACAGGAAAAGTTGTAGTGTCTCACCTATGCTTATCAGTTGTATTGATAAAGTGGTTTACTTTTATTGGAAGAAAATGAATGCATGCTAGCAAATTGGTAAATGAAACTATTTCCTTTATTTTTTTAAAATTCTCTTTGCTTTCTTGCCACGAGCAGCAGTGTTTTCCATATTACTTCTGGAAAAGAGCACCACACCCTATTAATGCTAACATGTAGGAGTTGATCAGAAATAAAACACCTATCACAATTAGCATTAACAGTGTATGGCCTGCAGATTTAATGTAATCCATAAAATGAAGCTTCTGGACAATTCTCTCCAAATTACCTATAATATAAAAGCAGCAATGAATTTAAGGCAATAGAGTACATACTAAAGAAGAAATCAAGTTCTGTAACATGTAAAGTTTTATAAATATTGATTAATGTATTGTGTTAATAGGAAATACATCTGATCAACAGCTTTACCTGTAACAATTATTATACCAATTTTTTAACTGAGTTTGGTATACATACATTGAAAATATTTAAATTGGATAAAAGTAGCATTTCAAGCAAAATCACATATGTGAATTGAAAAAAAAAAGATTATCTTAATTGTGTTAAATATCTGAAGGAGAGCCAGTTCGGTGTAGTGGTTATTTAGCTTTAAATAGTGCCCCCCCATTCATGTGGCCAGTTGAGTGACCTTGGGTCAGTCATCCCTACTCAGCCCCAGAAAGCAGGCAGGGACAAACCACTTCTGAAACTTTCTGAAATAAAATTGCAAGAACTTGCCTCAACAGTCACCAGGTGTCTATAATAACTCAAAGGAACAAGTTTTTTTTTCTTTTTACAAAAATCTGAAGATGCAATTCTTGAGAATATGCTTCACTGAATTAATTGAGGTTCATTGCTGAGAAAACTGCATTGTGAATAAAATTACTAAAGTCATTAGAACAAAAGCAAAGTAAAAATAGTTCTTCTTAATGTACAGAATTAAAACTAAGTCCTATTTAAATGTATAAATATTAAAACAACAACAACATTGATCTGTATAAGACATTTTAAAGATAATTGTCCTAGAATGCAGATGTTTTCTATATTAAAAGTTATTTGGTTTATTTGTTCTTCTTTTAAGGAGATCTAAGAAAAGCAGGAAGTAGAGACCTGTTTTTGCTCTCTGCAATATACCAAGCTATGGTTAGTAAGTTGTTTAAGATTGTGTGATGAATTTTATGGCTGTATGAAAAATTAAAATTAGATTTCCCATTACCAAATTCAAGTATAATAATCATATTAATTAAAAATATGAATATACTACATGCTATTTTGTGGACTGCCATGTGAGTGAAACGTAATGATCTTTCTTTCTCTGTTAGCACCACCTTCTTGTATTTGAGAAGCAGCTTTTGGTGGTTCTATAAAGCGGGACTTTTGTGGAGAATTGGCATTTTTGTCTCATAGTGTGTATTTTTACTGTCCTAAACTGCAGCTCTAGCAATTGAGAAGCC